ACCCCTTACATTGCTCTGATAAATTACATTGTTATTCTGATATGTTGGTGTGGCATTCTTATGTACTTTGCGACGACTTTTCTCGCCCCTGGAGCACAGAAGTGGCGAGCAGAGGTCGTTGTCAAAAAAGGAGAATGAATTAGGAATGAATAAGATAATGATATATTCTCTAAATTTAATGGAGGCGATGGAGGAGAGAGATAAGGAAAGGGCTAAGAAAAAGGGTGGAGGAGGTATTGGAAGAAACGAGAGGAAGGGTAAAGATAGGAGGGGAGCTAGGGGAGGTGTTTTGGACAGGAAAAGAAGTAACACAGGGTTGCCCGCTAAGTCCATTACTATTTAATTCTGATAGCGGATTTAGAGGAAAAGATGGGAAAAGTAAAAAGGAGAGGGATAAGGATATGGGAAGAAAAGGTATATACATTGGCATATGCAGATGATATGATGTTAATAGCAGAAGAAGAGGACGAATTGAAGAGTATGATTGAGAGAGATTAGAGGAGTATCTAGGACAGAAGGGAGTAGAATTATATGCAAAAAAGACAAAGATCATGAGGTTCAGGAGAAAAGGAGAAAGATGGAAGAAAAGGGAATGGAAATGGAAAGGGGAAAAGATGGAGAAAGTGAGAGAATTTACGTATTTAGGATATAGAATACAGAGGAATGGGGGTCAGAAAAGGCAGGGGTAAGGAAAGGATAAAAAAGGCAGCGGCAGTGATGGGGCAGATATGGGAAATAAGGAAAAGAATATTTGGGAAAGATTGGGGGAGAAGGCTCTGATTATTTTACAAGTTAGTGTGGACAGTTTTAAGCAATAGAGTAGAAATATGGGGGTGGAAGGAAAGAGAAAAGATGGAAAGGTTAGAGAAAAGATATCTAAGGTAGACGCTAGGGGTAGATAGAAGAACACCAGGATACATGATTAGGGAGGAAGTTCAGAGAGAAAAATTGAGGACGAGGGCAGGTAAGAGAGCGTGGAGTTTCGAGAGGAGGATGGAGGAAGAGAGAGAAAGTGGTTTGGCGAGAAGATGTTGAGAGAAAATGAGGAACAGGGCAAAGGTAAAAAAGGTCAGAATGGGAAAGAGGGAGAGAGGAATTATTCAAAAGAAGAGAATGAAGAATAGAGGAGGTGGAGAAGAGAAGAGGAGATGAAGAGGGATGGTATGGGGAGGTTATAAGAATAGATTTAGAAGAATAAAGGAAGGAAAGAGTGGAGAGAATAGAAAGATCGGAATAAAACAGATGGTATAAGAAGATCAGGGTGGAAGGAGTACCAGAATACTTAAGAAAGGAATGGGGAGAAAACAGATTGAAGAGGGTGGCGAGATTTAGATTGGGAAATGAGATGTTAAGAAATAAATACCAGGAGGATAAGGAAAGGAAGAAATGCAGGGTTTGTGGGGGAGAGAAGGAATCATGAGAACATGTTTGAGAGAGATGTAGGAGGGGTGGAAAAGATGGAGAGAGTTGGCAGGAGGCAATGAGGGAGATTTTAGGAGAAAAGGGAGATGAAGAATGGTGGATGAGGGAGGTAGAAGAGGAGAAAGAGAGAAGGGAAAGAGAGAAGATAGTAGAATGAGGAAGGAGAAATGAAGGGATAAATTACACGAGGGGAATATAATATAATAAAACAAAAAAAGTTGATAACAGAGGCAAAAGGAAACGGAAATCCCAGGCGGCGTGTGTGTATGTGCGTATATGGGGTCGGGCGGAAGCTAAGGGGAGATGGCCTATGCGAAAGGCGACCTAAAGCAAATGCTCAACCCCTTTTAGAATATAAGTAGGTTAAGGTAGAGTTAAATAGAATAAGTTTAAATGTAGCAAAAGAAAACATAAACAATAAACATAAACATAAACGAGAACTAAAACTATTTTTAATAAACTTTGTAACACTATTATTTCTAGTTTCTATCCCTGTAATTTATTACTAATAACCGTTTTTATCTAGAATTTCTGGGAATTTTACATGTCTTCTTCTATTTAAAGAACTCCTTTAATATTATTTCCTTTAATTCTTCATGCTTTCAAATTTGCGTACACATAGATTAGTATGTACTCTCGACCAAACTAGCAATAATATTTATTTAGAAATCACAACGTTTTGACCATTATATTTGGTCCTTATCAAATGACCTATACAAATATTTGGAAACATTATATAATTTGAATAATAAAAAGTTAAAACAAAACAAAAATCTTTTTAAAGATTAGTAGAAAGTTTGCAAATAAATTAATACACTTACATGGTTCATTATAATCATAAAAGCAAACTTATCTTGAATTAATACACGTTATACCAGAAAAACAAGTTTTTAACTACTAAACGACCTTTATTATTTTGTCGTAGATATTGTTGAGATTCTCAGTGTCCTTATGTAAATTTATTGTGTTGTTATTTTCTTTATATATAAAACATTTCGGCAATCTCTCTTTTTCTTACATGTTTTTATTATGTAAAACTTTCGGATGCGACCAATCAAAGTCGTGATTGCAATCTATTTTCTGTTTGCTAATTACTGAGAGATTGCTAGAATGCAATTTTATATTATTAAAATGTTCCTTAATTCGTGTGCTTAAATGTCTTTTTGTCTGTTTTATATATGATACGCTGCAATTGTTACAATTCAACTAGACTATTTAACTTTTTTTGTTTTTTCCCCAATGGGTAAGATGTCCTTACCAAGTTTGATTATTGGTTTAATTTATTTGGAATATAACAATGTTGAAACCTATTGTTTTAAAATTTTTGTATATATTATCAATGCAAAAGGTTTCCGGATGGATGCCGCGTGGTTGAACAGCGTAATGCCGACGTTTCGCAAACGTTGCAGTTTGCATCTTCAGAGCTGAGAGCTCCGATATTGAACCTTCTTAGGTTGTGGTCCTTATATATATTATAGGAGGTTTTTCATCTTACTTATCATTAAACTTAGTGATCTCAAACCAAGAGATACAGTTCCGAATAATTAATTTTTCGTGCTTTGGCTCTGTTGGCCGATTTAAAAAACATATTTATTTTCTATTTTTATTACCGTACGGACGGAAAGCCAATATATTGGTTCTGTAAAGGTCGCTTATTTTTCATAGTTCAACACTATAATAAAGATATAAAATATCTTAGTTCAAATTACAAAAGTTTACGAAAAAATACGCCCGTTCTCTAAAGGTTAAGAGCAGTATGCCAAATAGGGTTTGTTTGATAACTTTTGTTGCGGTTGAGATTGTCGAGATGTTTCAGAATTTCTAGGGCTTCACAATGTTTCCTGGCAAAATAGCTTTGCGAGGAGGTTAGTTTGGTTGCTTTATCGTATTGTACCGAGTGTCCCGTCTCCAATGTTCTGCCAAGGCTGATTGACTAAAATGGCAGTACTTGGCACTCCGTTGGTGTTCCTTAATTCGTGTACTGATCTTTCTCCCAGTTTCTTCTATGTACACTTTTCCGCAGGAGCAAGGAATCCTGTATACACCTGGTGTTTCTAAGTGTGGTCTCCGGTCCTTGGGATTAGGAAGTAGTTGCGCAATCTTATTTTGAGGTTTGGAAATTACTTTGATATTGTGTTGACCCAGGTTCCTGCTAATGCGTCCTGTTGTACCCTAAAGATACGGAAGAATTGTCTATTTTTTATTTTCTTTTTCTTCTTCTTTTTTACTTGATGTACTCATATTTGTAGAACTGGAGATTTTATTTTTCAGCCTTTCAGTTGTTCGATGGATGTTTTTGCTGTTGTATCCATTCTTGGTCAAGACTTGGTTGAGATGTTCTAATTCTTCATTCAGGGAAGTTGGTTCAGAAATTGTTAAGGCTCTGTATATTAATAAACTGATGACGAAATTCTTCTGAGTCGGATGATGATGAGAGGTGGCATGAAGGTAACGGTCCGTATGTGTTGGTTTTCGATAAACCCGATGGCTTAAGATGCCGTCTTCGTTCTTTTTAACTAACACGTCTAGAAAGGGGAACTGATTATTCTGTTCTATTTCTATTGTGAACTGAATACTGCGGTGCTGGGAATTTAGAAAGTCGAGAAATTGAGAGAGTGTTTCTCTGCCATGACTCCAGATGAGAAAGGTGTCATCAACATATCAAAACTATGTAAAGGGTTTGAGAGGTGCGTTTTTTAGGACTTTATTCTCAAAATACTATATCAAAACTGACAAGAATGCCATTACTTTTGTTTTGAGTTTGATAATCCTGCTCACAAAGTCTGTTGAGTTTTTAATGTGGGAATCATTGAGTCCTGTAAGGGTTTGGAGATATTTGACAAGAAACTGAGCTAATTGATAAATGGGTTCTCCGATATTGCTAACAATAGGGCGTAATGGAACTGAATCTTTATGGATTTTTGTATATATTATTCAAGCTTTTTACAAACGGTAAAGCAATGCAATTTTTATCTCGGATTTGTCCAGAAAACTCGGATAAGATAATAATACCTGGTCATAATAGCAAACTTAAATAGTTCTAGCACTCAGGGGAGACTCATTACAAGGTTCTGCCTATGGAGCCTTTTAATCTTTTTTTGATGTTTTACAATTCTAGCCATGTCTCATTGCTGTTCAGCGGGAGCCCAATTTTCTTCTATAAAACTGGGCATAGTCCTTTGATCGAACAATTTTCGTATCAGCACCTTTAATATTTTCAAAGTCTATATTTTTGAAGATGAAAATTTTTAAAAATAAGTTTTAATATAATATAATAAGATAATTTAAGATAAAGAATAAATTTTTAAGTGAGATTTGTTTTTATTCATTTAATATTACATACAAGAAAAAGTTTTCTTTACATAATTATTTAGTGGAAAATTAATTTTCTAATTAACGTATCAATATCTATTGTACGTCTGATTTTTATCAGCTAGGAAAATTTAAATTAAGTACGTATTTAATCTATTGTAATTATAATAATTTTTAGATTAATTATAATGAGCGATATGGATGATGTCAAACGAATAAAGGAATATATTGAGGATATGCGAAAGATGGTGCGTCAGTTAAAACGTATGGAGCAAACAGCCGAAAAAATAAATGCCGAGGAAGCATTATTTCAATTTCCGCTATCTACATATCCACGTATTAAAGAACTGAAGGAAATTATTTTGCCGTTTTATGCTCTGATTTATCGGAGTTATCAGTGGCAAAGAGATCGCAATGTTTGGTTGGATGGTCCCTTTGAGTATCTTGATGTACAGCATATCGAAGACAAGCTCAATCAATACCTAATTGATTTTACCAAAACTAATAAACAATACAAGACAAGAATCAAAATGCAAATCGCAATCAATTATCCGTACAGGTAATATATGAATTAAATAAAATTTTTTTTTATTTATAAATTTGTGAAGAAATTTAAAATTGATTTTTTTTCAAACTATCAAATAAAATTATTGCTTTTTGTAATTTTTGAATTTACAACATAATTTACTTTAATTTACAACATAATGTACTTTAAATATTTGTATAAATAACACTTAAATTATAAATGTAATTAGAATCATTTTAGTTTATTTAAAAATAATGTATTGTTTTTAATGTAGAATTTTTTAATGTAGAATCTTTTTCTTAAAAAATTGATTTTACATCAATAATAAATTTTTAAACAAAAAGTTAATATAATTCTGAGAATATAATTAAATTAAAAAATTATTTCTTGGCAAATTTGCTATATTGGCTCTTTCAGCAATAGATTCTCTATCCTTGTTAAAAAATTATTTTTTGAATAACTAAAAATAATCATTTCTATAGTTATATATTAAATATAATTCCGATTTCAAAATTATTATTCTATCTCTCTCTTGTCATTATTTTGAAAATTGCAATTAAAGTTGTAAGAAAGAGATATTTCAACGTATTTAGTTGTGTTGAATCCACCGTATAATATGTGACTTATTGGAAGGAAGGTGTTCGAAAATCGAACTAAAAAGCACGGATAAATAAAAGAAATTAACCATTTGCATGCATCCCACCATGCATCATGCGTCATGCAATCAAACAATGCTAAATATATTGTAATAAATTAGCACTCGGCCGCTGGAGTATACCGTTACCCCGCGCCTTCATAAGAAAGCGCTCGCGCTATCGCACTTTAACAAAAATAAGCGCTTGCTTTATCTCGCGTGACGAAAACAAAAACACCGCGGTCGCGCGAAAGGAGACATACAAACCTATGCTTAACTAACAAATATAATCGGTTGCTAGAAATAAACAATTACATCGTTTGTTCTAATTGTCCTTTACTGTTTAATAGAATGTTCTATTACTTCTCGAATATTCGCGAATTTCTTGTCTATATAAACCTCCTCTCGCGAGACCGCGCCGCTCTTTCCGTTAGTATACCGACGCGAACAGAGTGCAACTCGCTGCTCTGAAAAGAGATCGCTTGTCTTTTTCGTTCGTACTTTCCGTAGCTTGCGGACTTTTAATTAATTAAATTTTGACTCGGCTCTTCTCTTACGGTTTATGATTTTCAGTGTTATTGTATTCAAATTGTGGTGTTATTATATTAAAATATATATTGTTTTTTCTACGTTACGCTAATGAAGTGAACTTTATTCCGCCTAAGTGTCCGGTTTATTATTCCGCTTCCCGTCTCGTACAGAAGGGGAGGAAAAAATTACATTTTAATCAAAATTAAGTATACTGTTAAAACTTTCAATTCTTGATAGGAATTTGTTGTATCAACTATGATAATATATAATAATAAAATATTCATGATTTTTTTTATTTTAGAGTCTAAAGCAGAGAAGTCTCCAAAGCAGAAAAATTGAGAGACATTGAAAAAGAATTTTATTCGTATTTTATTTTATTTATATATAATAGAATAGAATAGAATAGAACGTTGATTCTATTTCCCCGAGGGGTTTACAGGGCGCTTTTCTTTAAGGTGTGTTCCCCAATCTTTCACAATTTCCTATCTTCCGTTAACACCTGATCATTATGCGACCTCACAAATTTTCTAAACTCGTTATATCCTCATTTTTACACTTTATTCCTCTCGACCAATAGAGCCAAACGCGATGTTATTGCGACAATTAAGAAAGAAAGAAAATTGGAAACTAAGAAATTTGAATCCTATGGTTGGGATCTCAAAAATTTCCCTTGTTCTTTCTCTTAACATCCCCTGTAAAGAAATAGGCGAGAAAAATATTGGTCCGAAAGTCGGCTGAATCGGGAATCGAACCCGAGACCTTCCGCTTGCCGGGCGACTGCTCTTCCAACTGAGCTATTCAGACACTTACGAATAAATATTTCTCTTAATGTTTATACCCCCCCCCCCAAATCGTCGTAATTAGGTCCAGACGCGACGAACAATAATAAGAATACTTTTAAGTCAGCTTTTTAATTTTAAAACCACAATCTACATTTTATTCCTTTCGACCAATAGAGCCAAACACGATGTTATTGCGACAATTAAGAAAGAAAGAAAATTTGGAAACTAAGGAATTTGAATCCTATGGTTGGAATCTCAAAATTCCTCTTGTTCTGTCTCTTAACATCCCCTGTAAAGAAATAGGCGAGAAAAATATTCGTCCGAAAGTCGGCTGAATCGAAAATCGAACCCGAGATTCGTAAGTGTCTAAATAGCTCAGTTGGAAGAGCAGTCGCCCGACAAGCGGAAGGTCTCGGGTTCGATTCCCGATTCAGCCGACTTTCGGATCAATATTTTTCTTGCCTATTTCTTTACAGGGGATGTTAAGAGAAAGAACAAGGGGAATTTTTGAAATCCCAACCATAGAATTCAAATTCCTTAGTTTCCAAATGTTCTTTCTTTCTTAATTGTCGCAATAACATCGCGTTTGGCTCTATTGGTCAAGAGGAATGAAGTGTAGATTGTGGTTTTAAAATTAAAGAGCTGACTTAAAAGTATTCTTATTATCCTCATATTTTTTTCTCTCCCTATGTCTCTTCTTTACCTTCATTTTTTTCACTCTTCTCTAACAAGACCTTGCCTTTTTCCTTCCTCCTTTTCTCTTTCTCTTCCTTTAGTTTAAAAATATACTACTCAACCTATGCTCTTCTCCCCTTCTTCCTAAGCTTCCCTTCCCTCCTTTCTTTCTCCCTTTTCTCTTTTCTCCTCCCTTGTCTTTTCTTAACTCTTTATTTCCTCTTTTTCTACTTCCTTCTCCCTTCCTTTCCTCTTCCTCTTTCTTCTTTCCTATCCCCTTGCCTTCCTCTGTCCTATGCTTCTCCTCTTATTTTTCCCTATCCTCCTCTCTACCCCCTTTTTCCGATTTCCACTTCACTCCTTGTCCACAAATTTTCATCTCTTTGCACCTACATACTACTTCCTTCTCCATTTCCACCTCTTAACATTACTTAAAATACGGAGTATCAAAATTTCTGTCCTCTTACTCTCCGCCATCTTTTCCGTCCTTCTGAAGTTTATTAACTTACAAGTTTATTTGATTTTCTTTAATATTACATAAGGCATCTTGAATAATTCGATTTTCGCCTTCCACCGATGAATCTCTGAATAAGAAATTGTTATTATTGCAACAATCAATTTGTGAAAGTATTAATCATAATAATCTCGTTATATCCTCATTTTTCAAAATTCTAGTAAAATATTGAGTAACACGTAATAATTGAAGTAACTTTTGCTGCCGAATGTCATATTCTAAATATTCTTCAAATTTCTACTTCTCTTGATTGTTAGACAAAGTTTTTTGATCATGAAAATTATTCCTATGTTTTTGTTGTGAATAATCTTCACAATCTTTATATCGAAATTCATCAAATATAAATGCAATATAGGGGGAATAGAGGAACATTAATACGATTTTTTATGAGATGAAAAAATAACTTTGCAGATAGATTAAGATAAAATTAATAGGTTAAATTTGTAGACTTGTTATTCTTCTTACATGTTTAATTGAATTTTTGCTATAATAATTAATAATAATAATTAATAATAATTAATATAATAATTAATAATGTATGTTATCAACAGACTTTTGGCACGCCTATGGGTTCCCCCCTCTCACCGATTATTGCGGATATCACGTTGCAAGATTTGGAGAGTAGAGCGATTGCTGCGATTCCATTGTCATTTCCATTTTATTTTAGATATGTTGACGATATCGCGTTGGCGGCCCCACCCTCCATGCTTAAAATAGTTTTAAACACTTTCAATTCTTTCCATCCTAGATTGCAGTTCACCATGGAGGAGGGGGTTGACAACCGATTGAATTTTTTAGATGTCACCATTATTATAAATAATGGGAGCATTGAGTTTGATTTGTTTCATAAGCCGACGTATTCAGGTAGATATTTAAATTTTGAATCGCAGCATCCTCTCTGTCATAAAAAAGGCACCATTATCAGCCTCATAGATAGAGTTTTTTGGCTATCTCATCCGAAATTCCATAAAGTTAACTTTGAGTCTATGATTGGAGTTCTTTTGTCTAATAATTATCCTCTCAATTTGATATTTCACACATTACAAGCGCGGTTAAAAAGTTGTTCTTCCGCTATAATAATAAGTTGCATAACAATAGAGCAAATGTATGCAATGACAAGATTCTAACGCAGAAAAAAGTTTCGTACTTTAATATTCCGTATATTAATAATGTATCGAAGAGAATCGAGGACATTACACGTGATTTGGATGTCATTCCATCATATACAGCAATTAACAGTCTCCGTAAATTCATTAAAGTACACAAGGATAAGTTACCAAGAGAACTCCATAATAATGTAGTTTATAAAATTGATTGTATGGATTGTGATGCGTCGTACGTAGGGCAGACGGGTAGATTGTTGAAAACTAGGATGAAAGAACATCGCAACAACATAAAAAGAAACGCGTCACAATTATCAGTCATATCGGAACATAGATTATTGAACCATGAATTTAATTGGGAGGATGTAAAAGTCTTAGACGAGGAGCCTTTTTTAGGTAAACGTTTGATATCCGAAATGATCCACATAAAACGTCAGAGGAATAGTTTAAATTTACATAGCGACACTGATAAATTAAACGAGAATCTTGATCTGTTAATAGAAAAATTTACCAAAATCTAGCTTTGTGATTTTACATAGCCGGGTTTTTTTGTTAGACTTTTGATATGAGTGCCGATTAGTTTAGTTGTTTTTATTTTTATTTTTATTTTCATATTTTATTTTTATATTTGTTTTTTTGCGTATATATGTATCGACTGTGTCGAGGTAGAATACCGCACAGTCGTTAGAGTGATGTGTCACGTGTAGCATCGTCTTCTCTCTGTTTTTGCTGTCGGGGTGAGTGTTCTTCCCGGTTCTTAATTTTTAATTCTTGTGAATTGTTCTACGTTTAATTTATACCATGTTGATTAGTGTTGGTAAGGGAGTCACTGCTCCGCTTCCTTCCTGACGATGGTCACCGTTAGGGAGACACTCCGACGGCCGGACGGTTTGAATAGGGAGGAGAATAATATTTAATTTATTTGCGGATTGTATGTATACGAGTTTTATAATTTTCTGATTGTACCGATTATCTTCTATTTTTGTTTCTTTGTATTTTGCAGCTACTGAAGAAGACCCGAAGTGGGTCGAAACGTTTAGAATTTAATAAATGAGTTTGACTTGAGATCTCATTTTAATTTATTAATTTTGTGCATGTCATCCGCATAGGCTCCGATTGCCGTCGAGATTTTATTTTTATTGTAACACAATAATTCGAGGCGAGATTAATAGTTTTTTTATATTGAATATAAAAAGACACCTCATTTCAAACTGTACCTAATCGCAGAATGTGCGTGTTTATATATGATCTGATACCTATGTTTAAACCGTTAATGTCCTATTTGTATTATTATTATTTATTGTTCGCTAATTTATCCAAAATATCAAAATAAGACTCGCTGAGTAATTCAGTATCTTTGTTTAAATTTAGCTCATTTTTTTGTTCTTTAATATGTAGCATCTCAGAGATGAGTTTTTTATAAATAATTATTTTTGTTGTCCAGAATCTTTACGTTATCCCAATTAAATGTATGGTGTTTATTTCTTATGTGTTCAAAAATTACTGAATATTTCGTTGAGTCCAACCTGATATTATTTTTATGTTTGTTTAGTCTCGTCTGTAATTGCCTCCTAGTTTGGCTTACATACGATGCATTACAATTATTGCAATTGATTTTATGAACAACATTAAAATTGCATGGATGTTTAATTTTATCAAGTTTTTTGAGACATCTGTATTCTACTATACATTCTGTATTTTTTACCGTGGAGACAATCATTTCTGAGATCCTATTTATATACGGAATGACAACGAATTTTTTATTAACTGATTCCTTTTCTATAATTTCTGTTCCTTCTATGTTTGCTTGTCTTTTTATAATGCTTTTTTTAGATATAAGGTGTTCTATCCAATGATTAATTTGTTAAAAATCAGATCAAGAGGGTAATCATTGCGTATAAGTATGTTAATGATTAACTCCAAATTTTTATTAAAAAAATTGTTAATTTATTAATTTATATATGGAACTTAGTAATCTCAAACCAAGAGATACAGTTCCGAAGAATTAATTTTCGCGCTTGGGTTCTATTGGCCGATTTAAAATTTATGTATTATTATTAATAATATTGAGAGCCGACATATATTTCTTAAATATTTATTTTTATTTATAGTTTTGTTTTATTTATCTGACTTTTATTTCTCTTTTAAAAAATTGATACTAATGCGTTGACCTAAATACGTATCGATTTTAATCATATGTTGTTCCTTCAAAGTTAACACTACTTGTGGTGATTACGAGAAAATACTTTGTCAAGTTGTATTTAGTTATATTTTATATTAATGTTTTACAAGTTTTCCATGTAGTTTTACAACCATATTTATCACAACAGGTATTTCATATTTCTTTATTATATCTATTTTTGTAATTGACTGGTTTTTCTTTATGTAGCATAGATTGTATAATTTAATTTGTAGCTTAAAGAGGACTCAATTTGGGGTCAAAAACGTTGCATCTTTTTTAATAAAATTTTTTTAATAAAAATTTATCAACATAGCTAGTGTTGGTCAATTTAGCCTACTTCACCTTGAACAATAAAAATATTTAACTAAATATTTTATATATTTATCATTTCTTATTAGTTTTTCAGGATTAATAGATGATCCCGATCCATTCCAGCAACCAGCACCTTTAAAATTATGTCATCAACTGGCAGAAGAGTAAAATGGTTTAAGGTGCTTTTAATATTAATTTGTAATTATAATAATAAATTAATACAAAAAGTTTTATGTATATAAAAATGTTTGAAAACTTTTTCAAAGACTCTTTTCAAAGAATTAAAAAAAATTAATTACAAAATTTTAAAATAATTTTATTTTTTAATCTTAATCTCTATCACAATACTTATATAAAAAATTAGATAATTTTTTTTATAGATCATTTATTCGGCCTCTCCTCGGGGTTGCCGGGCGTTTTCAAAGGACCGCCAAACCCCCCCCCCCTCTTACAATCTCCTCTTTTCTCTTCTTTACAATAAACTCTTTACAATCTATTTTCTTTGTACATT